AAAGATCGATTATATACCGCAAAAACTTTTGCATTCGCGCCTATCAGTTGAACTCTTATTGACTTGTACAGTTCCCAGAAATTCTGACATGCGGACGCCCATGCAAACACCATCATTTTAGCGTTATACAACATGTACAACGTTTGTGAGGAAGTAAATCGGTTCATCAATTGAATTTTCAAGGTTTACTGTTTATTTTTGATATCTTCTACTAAGGAATATGAACATCTAGCGTTTACTTCAGCAAAAGCAACCAACAGCAAAATATTCGGTTGCATAGATTTTGGCTGGTTACGGAGGCCAGTCAGCAGAGTATGGCAGGTGCACGCGCGAGTTTTTTCTTTTTTTAACAATATGTAAGCCCAGTAACAAGGGCCTAAAAACGGCCTTGCACGCGCGACATCTCGTCCACTTCTGCCATACTCTGGAGGAAGCAAAATGATAGCAAGAAATCGAGGAATCGCTTAACATAGTGATAAAATAAGAATTCGCTAGCTTAGTATGATTCTGCATTACAAAGATATGTGTCATGACAGCGTAGTTGACTGCTGTTTACAAGCATATCAGTATAAGAATCACGGTATTCACTAAAATGAGCTGTACAAAGTGTTTGCGTGACTTAAACACAAAAAGAACAAGATGTAACAAGCAAGCCATGTATCGAGTAGAAACATTTAGTTCATATTGTGATACCGCTTTCCTGACTTTTAATTTCTGCTCAAGATCAGATAAAACAAAGTTAACAAAAAGGGGGAAAAAGCTAGTAATCCATGAACGGCAGGGAAAAAAACGCGTTTGTAAATTAAAATGAGACTATTTTAACTTTATCAGAATTAAAGAATCGGAAAAAATAAGCCGACTATAACATCTGTAAATCTGCCTTGAAAATTTTTCCTTGCTATTACTAAGTAGTAAAGGTTAGTTCGCCTCACCATGATATTTTAAAGTTAATAGCTTTTTCATATGTATTTACAAACTTGATAGTTACCAACAAGACATTTGTACTTAGTTAATAATACGAAATAGCAAAACCAAGTTCAATCACGACAATGGAGCAGAGCCGAAGACAACTAAAATGCTATATTTTTTTTCAAGAGATACTGCTGAAGTTAAGTAAAATACATCTCCGCTGCTAGGAATGATGTCCGACTCAAGTTAACTGATTTTAGCTGTACTGAATGAGATCTAAATCAGAAGTAAAACGTTTAAGTCTGTATAAAATTGAAATTAACTTTACCATGCCCGGCTTGCCCGTGCTTTGTTTACATGAATTTCGAGCATAGCTGTCGTTTTCCTTATGGGTGGACTGGTTAATGTGCCTGAAAACTCCAAAGATCAGTCCGTATAATCTTGATATGGACTGCTTTCCCTGTGCTACATATTGTGCTTAACGCACTCACGCCAGAAGCACGTTTCATGCAATGCAACTTCAAAATGGACAGATACAAGTTTCACTCAATAGGTTTTGTAGGTTTTGGGACGAAGCAGATGCACACAAGTCGGTTTCTCACCGAGTTTACCAGTTGTAATGGTAAAATGCCCTGCAATTCCTTGCCATGAAATCCAAGGATGACCACAGTTACAGCATTCAACAAATCAATGGCGGAAGTAAACTGTGTTTCTCTGAAAGACATCAGGACATTCTGTCATGCAACCCGCTTATTAGAAGTGTCGTCTGTCGATTCTCTTTTGTTTCTTAGTGAACTCCACTTAACTTTACAACTACGTTTTAACTTCAAAGAATCCCGTTTGTAGTTTAGCTTGGTTGTTCTTGAAATCGTGTCTTCTCTGAATGTATTAATTTTAATTATCTATTACTGTTACCAATCGGAGAACGCTTTTATCTCCTACGTCATTGTTTTTTGACAAACAGGTCACGCTACACTTCTCGCTTCAGTCTGTTGTTTCGTCAGGCGTTCTGTCTGTAGTGCCCTGAGTGCATTGTCGCTGACTCAAGGATCTGTTTTTAATTGTCTACCATCAAATTGTTTATTATTCAAGTATTCACTTTGTATAGAACACTCCGAAACAACAAATATTGCACGATGAATTACCGGACGAACGCAAAGCACGAAACGCGAAAGGCCCTAGCGCACTTCCATGTTACCTGACAAAGATCATATTGTTCTGTTGACGGAAAGGGTTACTCAAAGGGCCCAAATTTCTCCTGTGATCATGAGGCTTTGTTTGCTGGCCAACACGAAGAGCCGGAAGTTGATGTTAGTGAATTTCGAGTCGAGTCAGTGACTCCATCTTGGAATAAAATTTACATTTTTTGTGGTCTTGGATACCCCTCAGTCAATCAAAAGAAAGCTTGCCTGGGGGCGTTATGGGGGTGGGGTAATAGGAGCCTGGAAGCTGTGTGATGCCGTGAGAAGTTTGTTTCGCTTTGTCTACAGTGAGTATTGACTACAAACAGCAGAGTCCTGTGTGATTGTTGTTTGATCCGGATGCTAATATTGTCGACATATTTGTAGTCAATAACTGACTTCTTTGGGTTGATTCGTTCACAAGATTACTTGGCAGTTCGTGTATTGCTCAGTAAGGTTTAAACCAAGCTTCCTTTAATTCAAAAACAAAAGCGAACAAGAAAATTAATTCACCATTTGTTCAAGAGAACACAGTGCATTTCGAGTATGAATGGAATTTCGTTAAATAATGCATTTTTGTGTTTGGCGGCAAAATTAGTATGCAGTTGAAAGAATGCAACTCCTGGTATAAGCAAATCAGAAGCAAAGTATCCAGTTCTCACCAAACACTGCCGTCACTTAACACTGATCGTTGCAAAGTAAGAAAACACCAAGGAAAAACTGCTAATCTTCACTTTGTCTTCGTTCACAACACAACACTAGTTGAGGTTTTGGAATTATGAGTACTCAGAACAATCTCAGGGCTGCCGGAAGAGCGATTTGCACTCGGTAGGTAGAAACAAGTATCAGGCTTTTACGAGGTGTTCGATGGCCGTGGTATAAACGTACACACCAACAAGTTATTGAGCTTTCTCACAAAAGGCCTTTTCATTAAATATTTAAGGTACAAGTAATAAATAAGAACAAAGTTTTCACGATAAGACCATTTATGATATCACATATGCTAGCTTACTTTGGCTCACGCATTTCATGGCAAAACACCTTAAAAGCCGGTTACATTATTGCTGCGGAGCGACCGTAGGGAGCGAGCAGCAACATAATCAGGATTTCAGGGAAATATATCTAAGGGGCGACGAATTTTTACCACAATGCATTACATTTAACCACACTTTTTACCACAATGCATTGCATTTAACCAGAGTGCATTGCGCCACAAACAACTCAAATAAAAACACGGGGAGGGCTGCCCAGACTCAGAGTTTTCTTTGTAGCAAATTTTCTACAGCACAGTTAGAGGTCTTACCAAATTTAAGACACGCGGGAGTCTTTCAGATGAGTGCGATGGTTAACTTGGGGATTGGATTTCAATTCAAGAGCCTTTGACTCGTCCAGGTGTTAAACTTCACGAGAAGATGAGCATTTGCTCTTCGACTCCTCAACACGGGGGATATACAAATTCCAGCTTGCTAGAAGGTGATGTGAAAGTGAGAGAATGTCATTCCATGGTATTCTTAAGAACCTGTATGAGCCGAAAATGGATGTGATCTTGACCATTCGCTTCAAAATAACAGCGGAAATCGAGATAACAAAACATATGTTTTGTGTCCTACGTTGCAGACTAGGACGTGTATCGGCGTTTTGAAAAGCATAATTATGTTCTTTCATTCATTCATTGCCATGGAATATGCGTTTACATTGTTTTTTTACTGTTAATAGCTCGATTAAGGCGGCTAGCGATCCGGCGGAAGTTTCATGGAAAAGGCCTTAAATTAAAGACTTTTCCCATCGTTACATGACTAGTCTCTGTTGTGTAGTGGTTAGGTGTAGTCGCGTGGAGCCGATGGTGCCGGATTCGAGTCCTACCATACTATTTTTTCCTTCTTTCTTTTTTTCCGTTTTTTGTGTTGTTGTTTTCTATAAATATATAGCTAAATAACTGTTACTTAATAAAGTGCAATAAACAGCAAGAAAAGTATCGTGTTTCCAGAGAAAAGATTGTACACCATATATTAAATATATGGATAAACAATCTGAATTTCTATCATTTCCTACAATTTACTGTGGGAAAACCAGAGTTGATAACCACTTGATCATTTTCTAAACAACGTTCCCACGAGTTCTTTCTACAGACTGATAGTAATTATTCTAGTACTTTCCAATATGGAATATGGAATGTCGGTCGTTTCGCCAACGGTCGTTTCGCAAACGTCTCTGGTCAGTTCGCAAACGTGTAGAAGTCAGTTCGCAAACGTTTAGTAGTCAACTCGCAAACGCTATCAACATTCATATGTGTAGAAGCCAGTTCAGTTCAGATTTCGGATGTCAACATTTGAGCATACAAACTAACTCTCAATCCTAGTCTTGTAGTTGATTTCACTCTATCACAGCATTTGCGTGTTGCATGTACAATAGCTGTAATCCGCAAATCAATCTACCGATATGAAACAGGTCTTACTGTTGTTGTGTTCTATCAGGAAGCTTTTCTCCTGAGGTCCACAACTTCCGAGAGACCGGATAAAAACGCCTCCATCTTGGGATGAAATATTAACATGGTTGCTAAGTGACGTACGTTGAACGTCTCAATGTCCTTCACTTCCCATTTCCGGTTCCGGTAGTGACTCTGGTTTGGCTATAGGAATTTTTCAATGAAGTTGTTGTAATACACAAACATATTTATTGCTTACAATTAACACGAATTACATGCAGGGACGTGTGGGCTGTCCGAGTGACGCCCGCCTCAATAAAAACAATTTCAAATTCTGAGCAAAAAACGACAAGTGCCATCAACTACCATTAACTTAACCGATTCATATAAATTAAAATATACCTTATTACATGCGGGGACGTGTGGGCGATCAGAGTGATACCCGCCCCTATGAGACAATTTCAAATACTTCTATGTAACTACTTTTAACGTGCTGGGCCGTTCAGATGTGAACAGACCTTGAGGAGCTGCGAGGGGGTCTTCTGCCGGTTGTCATACTGCTCCCAGTATTCAAACAACTTGGCTTGTAGATGTCTGTAAGTTTTACGCTGCATGCGCTTCAATTTCCTCTCGGAGACCAGCCTAATGGTGAGAGCTGTGAGTTTCGCCTCCCTGTCTAGTAGCTCAATCAGATAATATAAAGGCAGGTTGCATTGCCCACCAGCTCTGCGATTTAGGGCGTTATGCCAACCTTCTATGTCGTTGTTGGTACGAATTGGTTGTTTGTAGACGCTCCAGTCCTTTGGTGTAAAGACGGGGTTCTCGATCCACTGGCGTTTCATGTAGTCGACGAGATCCATAATGGGCTGTGCTTGGGTCTGTACACTCAGTCGAACGAACATCAGTGCGATCTCGTGAAATGGCAAGAAGGGAAGGGCCATCAGCTTCTTGATGTATCTGAATACACTGTCGTCTCTGGAGTAAGCTGATTGAAGTCCTAGCTCTTGTACCTTTTAAAAAGAAAAAATTAACATCGCTTATTAATTTAGGCATAGTCACAAGCGAGTAGATTCATCTACTAATACGCGTCAGTTTGGTGAGTCATTTTAAATTGTGTAATCTTTTTTTATTTGTTACTCGGACAGCCCACACGTAACAAGCGAGAAAAGCGAGTAGATTCATGTAATAATACGCGTCAGTTTTGGTGAGTCATTTTAAATTGTTACTCGGACAGCCCATACGTAACAAGCGATTAGATTCATGTGACAATAGCCGTCAATTTGGTAAGTCATTTTAAATTGTGTAATAAGCCTACTTGTCGTTAGTCCCCTTGCATTTGTAATCTATTTCATTTGTTTTCTTTTACTAACCTTTCTCCACACTGCTCGTGTCCAGTGAAAGACACAGCCTTGTATCTTTACTGCAGACAGGATTGATCTAAACGCAAGCCACAAGGCTTCTCAAAATCAAAGGTAACCCGTTGGACGGCTGGTTCACTCGGCAGCAAGTCAATGAGCGTCCTTAATACCTATTGAAACGACAACGTAGAGATGCGTATAAGTGAGACGTGACATCGAGATTGCCTCAGTGAGAATTAAACATTTATACGTGATTTAAAAGGAACTGCTCTACCTTTATTAGATAAGCATACGTTCACTTCACATTATTAGATACTAAAATTTCTAATACCTTCTTCTAGTCTTTTCCTTTCTTGTTTGACATAAGGGCAAATGCCAGCGGTACTTGTTTCGCGCACTCGCCGGATCTAACAAAGGCGTTGATGGTTACGAACTGTTTGAAGGGATGTCGTACTAGCTTGAAGGTGCCATCGACGTACCAGGACTTTGCTATGGCCAAACTCTGCAGCTGTGCTGGTCTGCCTGGTAGGCATCCGCCTGGTAGAATCCTTGGGGAATACATTCTTCTATCAGCTCGAAGTTCAGGTCCTTCGTATGATACGAAAGCCAAATTCAATAACTGTTTTATTATTCATTCAAAATAATTCCTAGTTTAAAAACATAGCTAAAACATGCTTACCTCTATCAATGCATCGATAATCAGTTCATCTTCGATAGTGTACATTTAGGTTTGTCCAGCTCCGCAAATATTCTCCAAATAGCAGATGTCGCCCTTCGAGTTGTCTTCTTGCTGTTCTGGCCATGTTTTTAGCTATTTTTTCGCCTAGTTCTTACTCTTGAAACGAGTGAAAGGTCCGCCATTTTTTCAAGTTCACAACCAAAACAACTCAACCTCGTCCCCAGGTCTTCTCGGTTAACGGTGCCTTAACCTGCAAAAACGCTGCATTTTTGACGTCATTTCCTCGTCAAGTCAAAATTCTTCCAAATTTGGTCATCAGTAACTGGTTATGGTGAATTAAACGTGTGCTTTTAGCCAATCAGAATCGGGGAAATATTTTAAATGAACGATAAATTTTCTATGTCGTTCTGTGTAGTGATCAGAGTGATTAGACAACCTGATAACACAAATGCCGTTCCTTTCGCATCATACCGAAAGTAGTGTCGATCTCGAAGTGGTGGAAATCGAACCTTGAGTCCTCTTGCTCTAAAACTGCATTTTTAAGTCAAAGCTAACCTGTCAATTTGCAGACGATTTTTCATGAGTCATTAGTTCGCATTTGTAGAATCCAGTCTTGAATGTATTTTTGTTGCCAATGAGAAGACTGTTTACATTGGCCTCAAGATTGTATGACTTCACTGATTTGCCACCCGATCGGTCCCGAAGTGAATATGGCGGTTACCTCGCAGCAAAAAATCCAGCAATAAGGTACATCTAAGCGTAGGAAAACCTCAAAGGGCTTATACAGAAAATCATATGATTATATATCAAAGCTTATTCTCCGGCGTATGATTTGATTCGCGAACAATATTGGCGTCCAAAAACTGATTACGGGTAATCGGCTGCGTGAATGAAGCAGCTCTCCTAACCCTAAAAGCCAGCGGTCTTATAATTTGTTACCCTAACAGTGAAACAATGGAAATAACGATAAACAAAATTTTTTGTTTGAATTTATACGTAAATCCACTAAGGGACAAGTGGTACAGTAGAAAGTATGGGGAACCCTAAAAGGATGGAGGTCAAGCCAGGTTACAATTACGTGACATAAATAGATCATCATTCAGAGATCATTTGTAGATACACCACATGGCCCATCGATGTATGACCGAAGGACCGGATGTGGCTACACCGTATTGTCAGTGAGATTTCGAGAGATTCTGCAGCCACGAAATATATTTGCTTGAAAAAGTCCTGAATCTCAGCCAATCAGAAAGGCTGATTGATCTGTTTATTTCCCGCACTCAAGACAAATTTGGTACTAAGTGTTCTTCAGGATAACAAGCCGATCGAGTCACTTAAAAATAGGTGCATTAGCAGAAAAACAGAGACAGGGAATCAAAAGCCGTACATTTCGAAGTACAATTACGTAATTGTTACGCTGCAGATCAGAAGTTTTGCGAGTATGAATACCGAGAGAGAGTCGTGTACGTGTACTGGAACTACAGAGATGAGGAATCGGTGAGTAAACGCTTAGAACACTTGTGTTTATAGGAAGCGAAGAAGTTTGCAGTTTTCATGCTTTACCTTTTTAAGAAAAATGCCTAAACAAGAATGAGATGCTGAGGTGGCTTCGCTAAAAGTCTTAGCAGGCGTGAAGATTTAAGCCTCGAGGCCCATTAAGGCGCCATGACTTGGCCAGTGAGAGAACAGCAGATATCTATTTCGCTATGATTTGTGAAGTCAAATGTTCTGTGTCATTTAATTCAGCAAATGGAAGTTATTGTTCATTTTAGTTTTAAATATTGCCAGTAGAAAAGCTACTCCTATCAAGTTTAATCATTGAACTGAGACAATGCCTCCGTCAGATTTACTTTCTGGTCCTTTCCCCACTCACATTTCGACCAAAAAGTTGTCTTACTTTGCCGGAATTAAAACGGGGCCCCTAACAGACCAATAAATCCATCGACACTGCTGAAAAGAAAACTTTCCAGCTTTCGAGAGGAATTTGTCAGAAACAAGCAAATAATATAGCTCCGCAAATGCCCTACTGAATTTCTAGGCTGTGTAGGTGTCTGTGGCGGTTCTTCCACCTCGGTCATGATCACTTTTCACTCGAAGCGAGTAGCAAAGATACGAGGGAAAATCCCTCGACGCGACTTGACTCGACTTGTACCCACTCTTCCCGCGGCTCCGCGCATCACATCAGCTATTTAGCTGCCGTATTTTATGGACCTACATAACAATATATTTATAATCCCGCCCGCTACGCGGCAGGCTACTGAATTTCACAGGGAGGGATGTTTCACACTAGTTAATATGGACGGAAGTTACGTTTGTCCACATGTACAATTTTGTATCTTCTCAGAACCATATCTTTGTTAGTTGTCAACATACCGCTATCAAATTTAGCAAACGTTATTGATTTTTAGGCTCATTTTCCAGTGGTTTTGATAAATTTTCGCCTACTTATTTATTTCAAAAGTTGACAAAACCGTTTAAGGGTGGATGACCGTGTATTGATGGATTCGGATATTACTTTCGTGTACCTTGGGGCTGTATGAAACAGTGAAGTGTTTGATGGCGATTTTGTGCCTTGCAAAAATGACAGAAAAATTTTTATGTTCAACGAAAAATTTTTATTTTAAATGCCATAGATCAAGGTATTTCGAATACATCAAAAACTTTAGTTGTGAAAGAATGTACCTATTTGAACAACGCTTTTGGCTTGCAGCCTGATGCGGACCACTGAGGAAACAGCCATCACATCCTTCTCATATGATCACGAAATCAGGGAAACCTCTAAAAAACTCGACTGGTTCACCGAAGGTATCTTCACGTGGTCTTATATCACACGAACTCGAATATGTACTTTAAATATATGGCGGTGGTGGTGGGGGGGAGGGCAAGTTTGTCCCCCCCTCCCACCATGCAAATGTCTATAAATTTTTCGCGACTTTGAGGAGCTACGTCTTAGCTAGTTTTCAACAAATGACTTTCAAATTTGGCGGTATTCAAATTTAAAGACGCTCTTTCCAGCGGAGTCGATGGATTTCCTTTACTTGTCTATGTCAAGAGTTGAAAAAAACCATCGAAAGGTCTATTGCATGACGAATCGTCCCCGAGATTTGGAACAATGAAGGTACTAACTTGACTAATGTATTGCACTTGATTGTTCCTTTCTTAAAATACTGTAATCCTCTCTAGCTAGCACCCGGAACGGCTTGTGCGTACGGATTTCCTTTGCCTAACGTGCTTCATCACCAGCAAACGAAGCAGGCAACATGCATGATAAAATGCATCAGGGTTATCCAACTTCCCAATGTTTCAAAATACGCCAGAAGTGTCTCAGATGGTTTTCTCTATGCTTTAGAAGCCTGTTTGGTCAATTTGGAGTTGCCTTAAAAACTATTTATCTGTTCGGATGTCTTAGGGGAACTTTGGTACTCACGAAAGTTTTAGATGGCTTTTTCGTCTCATCCGAAAGTGTTAGTTACCCTCATTTGTCTGGCCGAAAGTTGGAGGACATGAAGTAGCCTTGCTTTAGAAAATTACATGGGACGTTAAGTCTTTATCCCGAAAGTTTTAGGAGACATTAAAAAAATAATAATCGCAATATCTAGATATTAAAATGTGAAAACACAACCTCCGAAAATCGCAGTCAAGCTATTAGAAAACCTCCGAATATTTTAGACGAATGGAACGGTTATCCAGAAATTTTTATCTTTTCTCAAGCCTTAGAAATTTCTAGATAAAATTTGCTCCTTTGAACAGTTTTTTGCAGAATATAGTCGCTGGGCGCCCCTGATGTATTAAACATCGAAATAAATCCCGGGAATAAATACAGAGAGTCAGTTCTCTAGGTTAGTTAGGTTCCCCATGGTTAGGTATAAACTGTATGATCAAGAAGAAGCGTACATACCAGTGTTTCGAAGTATACTTCTAGGTGTACTTTTGAAGCAATGCTTGGATATGATTGATCGTTGTCCACTGAATCTTTTCGCATCCTAAGTCCAAGATTAACCAACACGAAGTTCGATGAATTGACTGCTTGTTCTTGTGAACTCCATATCAATGCCGGAAGTAGTGTCAATCTCGATGTGGAACTGCTATGGAACCCTCTTCAGTTTCTTGTAGAAAACAATAAATCAGTCGTTTGTCTTCTTTCACTTATTTCCAAAAAGGGATTAGTCCACTTACTTTAAAACTGAATTTAAACGACACCAAAGTGTAAACTGTTTTTATAGCTCAGTGATGAGTCATTCAGGTTTGCATTTGTAAATGCTTTAAGTTATGTACGTTTGAACCAATCAGAAAGCTTTGATCTGTTAACGTCATTCAGTTCCAAGGCAGGTCACGCTCAGTCGACTTGTAAATTGTATCTGCTGTAGTATTTTGTCCTTGGTTTAAATTTTATTTTATTTTATATATGTTTGTTTTTATTTTTTTGGTATGGCGACGTACATTAATCAATTGTCAAATAATAGGAAAATTTGTTGAGCATATGACGTGAACCCTTTTTTATAAATGAATCTAAGTAAAACTTGGAAAATTTCCTTTTCAGAACCCACCGAGAAATAAATTCGTGATAGGAGGATACTTTTGCCATAAGAAAGAAACTTATTTCCTATTCGCTAAAGACGTTCTTGATCTTATTGCTCCGGAAACGCTGGGATTTGATATTTTTTTAATATTGATTAACTTGCAATCGAACCCAGCTCGCTGACAAGTCAAGATGTATAATTGTTTGTTCATTGGATTTCTCCCCGCTTTCCGTTGACATTTCACCAACTGATAAAGAACAGATATAAACACTCGTCTCCAGAGTGTCACACAAAACCTTCAGAAACCACACCTTTCTCAGGAGAGCTGGACTGATACGAGAATGAATGACTCTGTCTTAAACTGCAGTAAGTGAAAAGCGTGAAGGGACAACCGAGTCTATACAGTTCAGTAAATAGTCAAAAGTTGAACTGATCCACCCACCCCCGCCACCCCCCTCCCCCCCAAAAAAATCGCCCTATGCTGTCCCAAAAATATTTAACCTTTTGCTTAATGGAAGCAAACTTGGTTACCTTAAAACAGCAACCAGGTCCCCGTTATTAAAATTCATGAAGCAATCTAAGCTTTTATTGATAAGGCTGGCGGCTAGGATAATGTTACTATTTTGCAATGTTCTCTTATAGGGGAAATAATGCAGTTGCGGGACATGCAGTTGGTTCAGCTGCAAGAGAGCCAATAGAGCAAGGGGTAGGTAGATATTTACAAGCTCAAGAGGTCCCTGTTATGCGGTATTCAATAGGAAAAATCAAGACCTCCCAACATTAGTACAAAAGATAAACGATTACTTTTTTATTGCACTAGCACCAGAAAATGTTTCTGCAGCTCGTGTTTCCATAAAGCATGTTGCCAAAATCAAAATCTCCTAAATCCTAACGCAAGCTGTGACTTGAAAAAAAAGGCAGGTTTAAATTTATCTGTTTAGTACATTTTCCAAGTTTTGGCATCAGCACATCTAGACTGCCAGGACCACTTCGGTGATAGTTGGGTGCTGGGACTCACATTTTTGTGACCGTTAACTGTTTCTTGACCGGCATTCATTATTAGACAACTTAACAAGATAGTGATAAAATCTCCTATGCTGGTCTAAAAATACGTATTTCTACTTTTTTCTAGGCGATCGGTGGTCAACCCATTGAAGGCGTATATCATCTCATTCATGCTGGACAGGCAGAACATGGATCTCAACATCATTCTATTGGTCAGCCTAACGCTGCGGGTTTTCACAATGGGCTGATGGATCCCCAAGGGATCTCACCATTGCCAGTTGTGCCACCAAGCTATCCTCATCTCCCGATGAGGGAGCTTATTGTGAAGAATTTGAATTTCAATCCATTGCAAGAGGTTCCCTTATACCAGATGCATTCAAGAGGGAGACAACGGATGCAGTACGCTGAGATGGCTAGAGGAATACAGTTCAGTGACTTGGCTGGGGCTAGACCACCAACAACTAACATGCACTGCAGGCCAGGATGGACTGTTGCAACTGAGTCGTACGATGGAATCAGGTGTTTTAGATCTGTTGAGGAGACCAGCCAGTTTCCGGAGCAGAATCAAGGAGGTGAACGCATGCATGCATCCAGATTTCGTCGACAGCAGACTTTAGACAGGTCAGTAAACGAACACTCCGCACTACACCCCAATTTCTTTAAACGATCGAGAGCTTTCTTTCTCTGGCCACGTGTAATCAGTGCGTCATGTTACTCCTGGAAATGATTGGAATCGCAATATTTGATCAGTATACATGGCAAAATCATGAGTCGTTTAATTAACAGTTTAGTTTCTGAGATTCTCTTTTGTGGTTTGCTATCTACCTCATTTCATCAATACGTTTTAGTAAGGGTTTAAAGAAACCCGTGAAATTTTAAGTAAACATCGGAGAATTACAGGTCATAACCTGAGATCAGGCGAACCTTATTCTCTGTTGATCAGCAAATCTCCAGTTTCAGCTATGTTGCAGATGGCAGTGTTGTTACTAACTCGAGGCCTATCTTGAGTTTGGTCAGTTCTTGTCACTTGTGTCGGTTTATCCATCAGGGTTGTGCTGGATCGCAGGTAACAGGTCAAAATGACCCCATACTCGTAGAGGGGTCAAAGTTAACATTTTCAGGCAGCTGTGGCATCCAAGTTTGTTAGTAACTGTTTCCAATTTTTTTTCTTCATGCTACCACTCATAAAACAACCCTCAACAGGTCAAGTCCAGCAGAGCATTTCTTAACTCAAGGTCAGATCTGTCGTGGAAATTATACTTGGAAAATAGAGAGTTTCTCTCAGCTCCTCCAGGACGCAAGCAATGGAGAGATAAGATCACTTGAGAGTCCTCCAATTTACACTAGCTTCCCTTGTGGGTACAAGTTCTTCATGCGTATCTTCCCGAAAGGCGTTGATGGTGGAGATGGAAGACACATTGGCCTGTTTGTTGGCATGATGCAGGGGGATTTGGATAACAGGCTCGAATGGCCATTCGGCGGGCAAATATCTCTCTCCCTGTTGGATCAAAGCAATGATGCTCACAGGTTCTGTAACGATGTCAGTGGCACTTTCACGGCTAACGGAAATCTGGGAGCTTTTCAGGAACCCAGGGCTGCCGGGCGATACACCACCCTGTATGGCTACGAAGAGTTTGCGCCCATCGACATGGTCTGCACCCCACAGTACTCTAAAGGTGATGCGGTGATGATCAAGATTGAGATCAATAAAAACATCTAAGTATTTTCCTTTAGTCTTAGGAAGCACAATTTCTTGGCTGTAAAAACTCCATAAAATTATTTTTGCATCTTATAAAACAACATGAATACAGCAGCCAAGTAGAAAAACTGCGAGAGAGAGCTTCAATGATAGTCATTAGTATTAATAATTATTAGCAATAATGTTTTTCTACAGAAGTGTTAGTGCATTAACATATATAGCCGTTAATTTCGCGTTAGGTCCTAGATACGTTTATAACTCATTTTAAAGCGGATATTTTACCATTTGATCTTACTCAAGGTTTCTTTAATAATGACATGTTAAAACAAACCTATATTAGCCCTTTTTAAAAGCTCTCAGAACGCGGCGCGGGAGGAAACTGGGGAAAGGATGGGTTTTCTTTTTTTCTCTTTCCCCCCCCCCCCCCCCCCCCCCTTTTCGGGTACCTTCCTGGCTTTCGCATCTTCCCCACTCTTTTGCTTCTGGCCTCCGAGTCTAGAACAGGTTACCATTTTGGAAATGTACAAGGACAACAAATGTTGATCTGTATTCTTTTATATGAGGGTTTAAAAGGAAGGGCGGTTACCGACCCTAGCTTGTGTTGATCATTATCTGCTCAAATGAAGTGTCTGCTTGATGTTATTGAAAATGTGAGAAAAAAATTCATATTCTCCATTACACAAGTTTACGCTTACTGGAGAATGTGACTTTCCTATACAGGAGGGGGCGGGGGGAGGGTATTATGACTCCAAATATTTCTACCAGTGTCGACGTAAATATTCGTACAGTTAAATGCTGCACATGCAAATACCTACAATCAGAATATATTCTGTTTTGTAGCATTATCGCTATAAGGGCCTTGATAATGTTTGGCCGTATTTAACCTTGTGGGAGGAAAATCATCGTTTTAGTCCTATCCGAATGACTTTACTGTATAGTCTATTTCGTTTAGAAGTAACGCTAGAAAACCGCCTTTATTGTTATTTTTGCGAGGCAGCAATGACCATGATGTTAATACATTTATCGAAATGTGTAACACTGGTTTACAATCATGTAGACTGCGAGCTGTCTCTTATCATTTGTTTTGAGTCGGTATCGCGGTAGTAGATTGAGAGCATGCGTGGGCGGAAGCTTTAATTTGCATAATTTTACTTTTTTCTCTCGCCGCGCGTGGCTCTGAGGCGAGAAGGTACGACCGCTTGCGGTCTACAATCATACTAATATCGCATCGATTTAAAAATGATGCCACGTAGTTACAGTAGGTTATAATTGTTTGTTTATGTAGACAGCTAGGCCGGAGGGTTGTGTAGGGAGTGTAGGGTATCAGAAACAGTGGTGAAATTTTCTAGTTATTTTCTCGTTGAAAACGTATATTCCACAATGTAGTCATAAAAGTAAAGCTGCAAATTATGAAGGGGGTGGCGAAAGATTTTCTTGAAATGTCATGTCATTTTAAAAACATTGACTCTTTTCAGTTTTTGTCGCAATGAAGGAGGTGAAGGCGTGCTTCCGCCTTGAGGGAGTGATGCTTGCCGTGGATTTACATGTTCTGATAGCATGATTCTCCTAAAGAGTAAACTTTATTTACTTCTTTCGCCACTCCTATTTTATACAAAAAAAGGCTTTCGTTAAGTTAAAAAGTGAGTAAAATATGTTTATGTATCATCGGTTGTAGTGTCTTAAATCAATAAAGTAAACGTGAAACGTTACGCATTATTTTTTGGATAATTTGATCATTTGGTTGCTTAATGTAAGAAGCCCGAGGGGGTGGGGGGTGGGGTACTTTCTGTGATGGCCTATACGGGGAGGCTCCGCCCGATAGGGGCACCTTTTTCAGGCTTCAGGTATACAATAGGGTTGGGTCTGTGAAAGGGCCCAAAAGGGCTAACACATAAATTTCATCGCTTTATAAAGTAGAGAAAACTTTCTATTTTGCGATATGTTGATTCCTATTTTAAAAAAAGTGCATTTACGGCAGTTAAAAGGAATGCAAAGTTCTAAGCAAAGTATATTCATGTGAAAGGGGTACCATTTGTCAATAGAAGGTATACAAAAGGGGTAACTTTTTCGTGAAAAATGGTATATAAAAAGGTACCAGGTTGAACCTCGGGGCGGAGCCTTCCCGTATAAACGTTTGTTGAGTACCTCCCCCGGGTAAGAAGCTTGGGAGCAATAAACCCTTTTGGGTGTTGTGCTGTCGTTCTAGCTGTGAATGAGTATCTTCTGGGTGTTTTTACTCGCTGTTCTTGTGCATATGAAAGTATGAAACCCGTGAAACAGCGAGAAAGAGCTAGACAAGCTAGACAGAAATTCCCTAAGTTCGTTTGGGGAGGCCTGGGACATGAGCCCGCGTTTAACCATGGCAATCCAAGATGGCGGCCATGTCACGAGAAGGTCAGTAGTCTTTTTATTTTTACATTTTTATTTTTTAAAAAAGCGTTTTTCCTATAATCCCGGTCACTATATTATGTTTTTTTTTACTCAACTCATTTCTGTCTTTATTTAGTGTCATGGTACCATGAAACATCTTCGTCTGCGGGTTAAATCACAGCGGAGTTAGCGTACTAAGTTTAGAAGAATTAAAGAAGATGTCTTCTACGAGTAGCAGTCGTCTTTGTAGCTGCTTCCGTTCGATGTGGGCTTCAACAGTGCAGTTTATTGTGTCACAGGATGAGAGTGTTAGGCGGAGACGACGCTTGTTGTTGGGGGTTGTTGTTTTACTGCTGGTGGACGTTCTTTGGGTCGGCTCGTCAGAACTGACAGATGTGAGAACAAATTTACTACTAATTATCAATAATTTGTTACTAGATAGCGTACGAAAATTACCACCAAATATTTAAAAGCAAGCCTTTTCATCAGAACATTGCAATAAAAATTAATAAATGTAATTATCATCTGATATTCTTGGTTTGCAACCATATCATCTGGCAAGGTTGCTATTTTGGTGATCAATACAAAATACACATATTTTTTTACACAGAATTTGTAGAGAACAGAGTTTAAAGTTTCTAGTGGAGAGAAATGCTCTCGTTATTGACTACCAAAATGTTTACCATGATGTCACTGCATGTAAACCAGCTGATGTGGTTGCTTTTAAGGGGTGGACCATTAATTAGAAAAGTTATGGAAGGGGTGGGGAAGTTTTTGAGCTGCATGAATGTTTGTTAATGTCCATTATTTCTTTAGTTATTGTTCCCTTGTATTAATTTTGTGTGTGTGTGTGTGTGTGCTTGTCCCTCCCCCTCCCCACTTCCTCCCATAGCTTTTCTAATGGTTTGCCTAATAAATAGAATGGCAAGAAACTGGTGGGACTGTGCAAATAACTGATAAATAATGCATTTCCCATTATTTATTGAGTCAGTTGGGGTTAGATTATGTCTTCAATGCAGCATACCAACCACATAACCTCTCTACCTTTCCAAAAACAAATCTAACCCCTCTGCAGTGGCGAATCCAGGGGAATTGCTTTCCACTAGATAGTAAATAGTTACCATTGCTGGCATCGCAGGGTTGTGTAAATAAGAAGTGGAATGTGTAAGTTAGAGATTCTTTCACTCTGTCATATCTGTCAAAAATCCATGTTGCCCAGATCTCCAGTAAGTCCATAATGATTACAATCTTGTTTACCATAGTTATTCGGTTATAAGGCGCACGGTTTTTTCAAGAAAAATCTGTCGTTGGGTGGCAAGTTAGTGCTAAAATTGGGGTGCGTCTTATAGCCAAGTATTTTCACGTAACAAAATCTTAAGATCACAATTTGAGAAGAACTTACAGTTTAAAAAACACAAGAAAAAGACACTTGTTGTTGATCATTGACTTTTATAGATTTGGTAGTTCTGAAAAGAACCGGGGTGGCGCTGAAAAGAGCCGTTGTATGTCTTAATCAACATTCTCACTGCTTTTTATGGTTTACACAAAGTTATGAATTTAGTTTTCTGTTATACTTACATCTATTTTGACCAAAACCTTTTTCTTTGCAGTTTATTTTCAAATATGAAGGATTTGACAAGCCTTTTTTCACTACATTTTTCAAGACATCATCATTTATGATATATTTGACTGGATTTCTTTTTTATGAGCCGTGGAGGCTTCAATGCATTGCATGCTTAAAGAATGAAACATCCTCAAATGTAAGTGACAAGAAAGAACATTATGATCTTTATGCAGATCCTTAGATTATTATTTGCCATTTGCACAGCTCCCATAAAACACCTTGTTTATCCCCCAATTTTTGAAATTTTTGTAATTTTTCCAATTTCTTGTGAGATGACTGTAATACCCAGGTGGAAATTGAAACAAAGGGTATGCATTTGGGGGGGGGGAGGTGGGGGGACCAAATAAGGTTTATTTCGTGTGATGTGCAAATTGACAAATTAAATTTCCAAAATATTTTTTTTTATATTTAGGGGGGTCAGCATATTAAAGTTCACATGCAATATAGAGAATCTGTCAGTTGATTCAAGGTCACTCAGGGCTTTCTATTGGGATCTCTTAATTTTTTTCACTTGAAAATGCAGCTGATTCCTTATCTTGAATTACCTCCTGTTTTGTTAAACTCTCTATTATAAAATCTAAAACCATCTTCTTTTTCTCAGTCCAAATCTGTAATCTTACCCTAAAATTTTTAAAGCTCCCCCAAATAAAAAGCAATTTTCCTTTCCCAGGGGTTACAAAACTGGGTGAATTACTGTAGCATTTTGTCTGGAAATTTTTTTTTCAGATCTTGGTATCTGCTGTAAATCAAGACAGTGAACATACATCTCTTTTAAACTCACCTTCATCCCCAGGGGAAACTACCCCAATCCGAAGACCACTGATGGTGAGTGAGCATCTTTTTAAACTTCCAAAGGAACCCACAGTTAAAATTCAACAAATTTCATAAATTTCATTTTATAAAATGTTGAAATAGAGAGGTTTCACTTATATGGTGACCGTCAGTTTATAAAATTTTGTGCAAAGACTGGAAATTATAACTACCATATATTAATAACGTAAAAGATTAAATATAATAAATGACTCGTTACCCCCTAGTGATACCTCCTACTTGTCGCCTGTTTTAGAAACATCTCTTGACACTCTCCCAGTAAACAGTGTTGAAATATTGAGCTAAAACAAATTAGTGAAAACTATCGATTTCATCTTAGTAACACAATGGTTTAACTCTGTTTGCCTTCGACCTGCAGTTTTCATTACTGTCTTTTGTTAATAATCAGAATGAGCCAACTTTTGAAGAAATGACAGATGAAGACATTTCAACCAGCCGATCAGCTGAAGTAACTAGTAGCAGGGGCACCCAACGGCAATTTTCGGGAAAATATCTGTTCGGAAGACGATTTGAGAACTAGAATTTTCGGAACATTTGTTGTAAAATTTCTTGCTTGCCTGACTCTCCTAGGATCTTCGAACATCTACAAAATGGTATAATTACCCATTTTAAACGGATATTCACCCTAAAAAAGGCCAGCTAGAATTTTCGGGAGCCTTTTCCTGGCTGAAATTTTCGAGAAGGTAAGTATTGATCCCTATAATTTTCGGATCACTAGATTTTCAGCTAGGAAATCCGAACAGATGAAAAGTTTTTAGGGGATAAAAATATGCCTATATCTACCGTTTAAATACTAAAATACGTTCAACAATGCTATGTTGAGTGGTTTTGAACTATATCCTCGTTGGGTGCCCCTGTAGTAGTTCCTTTGAAATAATTCCAAGTAAGTTAAAAACACATGCCTTGGAGAGAGATTTACCTCATGCTTACTAATAGTCTGGGTGCCCTGTGTGTCACATCCAACATTGTCATTGCTTAAATTTAAAGTGAATTAATTTAACTTTTAATCACATGCATGGCATACTATCAACTTCAAATACTTTGCAAAATCAGGTAACAGAATTAGGTAATTTTATAAGTGGTAATCAAGTGAAAAATAATTATTTTGAATATTGGTCACTTGCTTTAATACACTCATTATCTTAACTATATAACAGGACCTAGGCGGGTGACATTTAGCAGTGTGAGAGAAGTGCGGCAATTATCAGGTAAATATATGTAATTTGGTTTATTAGGGAGCTTTTTTTGGACAGTATTTACAGCTGAATCATGAAAAATTTCTATGTTTTGAATGGAGCAAATTTGCATTTTTCAGACCATTTTCTGAATAGGCAAGGTTGACCAGACTTCCTTACCACTTGGGTGAAGATCAGAAACTTCCTGTCCATCATGTTGCTAAGGTTGCCTTGCTATTCTGCTTACTGGTGAGTTGTTAGGTTTTTTTTAAGTAGTTTGGGGGGTGGGGTAGGGTGTCTTTGTGATGTGACGAAACCCTCTCTGCTGGGGAAGTTAACAAATCAACAACAAGCCGCAGGCGAGTGGTTTCACTGCAAAGTTTTGAATATTTTGTTGTCATTTCCATGGTCCATTACAGTGGAAAGTATGAAAAATTGTTGTTGATTTGTTTTTTTACAATAACATTGACTGTTTTAACATCCATTTCCTTGGAAATTTCTTGAAAAGTTACGCACACAAGACAGAGAGAAACAAATTTTGCCACCATCACGTCATTTCCATGGTCTGTACATTTATCAAACAAAGCTCTCCACCAATCAGCGCACAAGAAATCACTCAGTTATTGTAAAATGAATATTTCTCACAATTATGATCACTATTTGTAAAAACATTTAGGGGTAAAAACTAGAGGTTGTGTCTCAGGTTGTTTCTTCAGTTCAAGTAGTTACGTGAGGATTGGGAACCCTAGTACTTCAGTACATTTTGCTATGAAATTTTTGAATTATTTTGGTCTCTTAAGGGGCATGGTGAAGGGGGTGTGGGGTGGGGTCCAAATGCAAAATTTGGTCAGTAATTGGCAAAAAAGTTTTGTACTTGCACTCACTTCGCACAGAATGGTCAATCGAAACACTTCAGGGGAGAGAAATATTTAGTTCATGACTATGTTTAACATCTTGCACACACCTTCCCTTCTTGCAATATTTTTTTAACATTTACTTCCTTTGGAGTTCCTTGCATTCACCATTGGAGACAATGATCATTAGACATTAAGGGAAAGTCAAATTAAACACTTTATTTTCTCTGCTGACTAGCTTCTCTTCCACAGTGGTTTTGTGCTAACTGCAGTTATCAGGAAGCCATTGCAAACACGTCACCAGTAGCAGTAAATATTTTGTCATCCTCATCAGGTACGATTTCTTGCTACAGGTATTCCTTAGCCTAAACTTAGCCTCTTAAGCTTAAGTGTGGGTTTGTTTCTTTTTTGGCATTGGCTTTTCTGCCAGGAGATAATTATGATTTTTTTTCTCAAGCTCATTGGCGTGTAATGTGCACTATCTCGTCTCACATCTTAATTAGCTGCTCACCCTGACATTATCCATTCTACGAATAACACTTTTAATCTCTGGTGAATTAGGGCCAAATTTATGCCCACTGTGATCTGGCTCGTTAAAATAAGCGGCTAAAAAGCTTGGAGGATCATCCTGCTCTATTAAACATTGTACATAAATAATCTATTCGTTTCTCGAAGGAAAGTGACCGATTTTAGGGCAAATAGTGTGTTGGGTACTGGCCTTCTATTTTCACTTCTGAACCAGGCCAAAACACCACAGCACTTTTCTTAAAAGCTTTTTTATTCGTGATCAACAACGGTTCTCCGTTTCACCATTTTGAATCCAAGTAATGCTTTGAGACGGCATCTAAGTAGAAAGTGTCGTTGAAAACAGGATCGAAAAACGTATTTGCTACGATCCCGTGGCTTTCCTCATAAAGTCCTGTAACTAACGTGAAATGATTCGGGAATGTTTTGGTAACAAAGGTATTGAGAAGGTGTTTCGCTTTGATGCCATTACTTGCGATAAAATTCAAATATGGAGTATGAACTTTCTCCATGTAGTCCCACCGGAAACCATCGTACGAGACCAAAATTACAGTGGGTTGTGCCAGCACGATTCTCTAATTAATCGAGGCGAAGGCGTTACGATCAGGAAGAAATAAGATTAATATCAACAAGTGAAATCGGTCTAGCCTCATATTGACATAATGAACAATTTTCGGAACGGTGCTTTCACTGTGCTTTGCCAAATTTTGTGCTGCTCGTAAGGTCTCTCCTAATTGGTTGCAGGAAACAATGACATGTCATTCTTCCCATTGTTTTAGTATTGTCTGGTTAGGGTGATGCGTCATCTGTCATCAAACCGAACTTGGCAGGACCGAAAGTCAGACTTTTCGGAAAGAGTATTTATAAAATACAGATGCTGTCGCCGCTGAGGACGACGCATCACCCTAACCAAACAATACTGCTTGACTCGTAGCTCTAACTTCTTGGCGTACTCAGAAAGAGGAATAAGGCTACTTTCATCGGGATTTCCACTTAACTTTGCTTGATCTGCTGAATTATTCATTTTAAAGGCAAAAATGATAGATGTGACTCACATTTGCATATGTTTAGACTATCAAAAGTTGTACACAAATATAGCGACCGGAAATGATGTGACGTCACTATCGTCACGATGTGACGATCTATAGGCTAAAATTACATATATTGGCGCAATGGGCCAATCAGAAGGCAAGAACGTTTGCTTCATCCAATCGAAAGAAAAGGCAATGAATTGGAAATCCTCTGCACATGAATGACTTGACAGAGCGGTCATCTGCATTCATGTTACTGCAGTAAAAGAGCAAAAAAGAGCCGTACAGAGGCAGAGCAGCTGGAGGGAAGTGAAAGATAACAAGCCGAGAAGTCGAAGTACCTTACAAATTTTTTAGCAGAAGTGCGATAAATTTCTCCGATACTTCGAAATCCTACTGTTTGGACCTTAATTCGTTAAATGTAATTCATTTTATAATTATTACGCTGCAGAAGTTTTACGATGACGACCAAGAGAACGCCATGCATCGCTACTTGGACTTCAGGAACTCAGAGGCATCGGTATGTGAACCCTTTAAAAACTGAACTTGTGTTCATACGACGTGACGAAGTTCGCAGATCTTTGCAATGTTGATGAATTTCCTTCTTTTAAAAATGCAAAAACAAGAAGTACTGAGGTGACTCTGCTTAAAATCTCAGCAGACGATAAGATTTAAGCGCGTGGAGTATAGGACTATATATTAACTTTATTTATATTGACTTACTTTGTTTGCCGGAATTTAAACAGGGCCCTTAAAACTTGAATTGTCTTAATAGACAAAAGATCCTTCGACCTAGTTCTGAAAAGAGCGCCTTAAAAATTTTATTTGAATTTGCCAGGTCTCGAGAGTAATGTTGTCGGAAAAGAGCAAACCTCTAGCTCCGCAAATTCGCTCAGATTCCCCCGCACGGCGGAAGTGCTGCAGGGCCGTAGCAAGCCTTTAGATACCAGGTGGCACAAAGATTTTAGATAGCTCTTAGTTATTTTATTTGAAAAGCAGAGGGTTTTGGGTCCAGGGGAGCCATTGGACTGGTCTCTCGAAGTAATAATGTTTCAGTGCTCTGGGAGATGAATTTTTATTTTGAACTTTAATGCACGCATTTTTTGACTTTTTGGGGCAAAAAGAGACCTGCTGCAGCTACTTTTCTCCACAATTTCGTGACTTTGCCGAACCATATCTTCATTATTGTTAACAAACCACTTTCAAAGTTAGCAACTTTGCTGATTTTAAAGCTTTCTCCTAGTTCCAGCGGTTTCGATGAATTTTCACAAACTGGTACATTTCAAAAGTTAATAAAACCGCGTCTATGTCTATTGATTACCCTGATCTATGCTAAAAATATTTCGTTGAATCTGTTTTTCCTACATTTTTGCAAGGCACTTTATAAACGCTAAAGTACATTATGACGACATAAAGTGAATGAAAAAATGAAACAGCCGCATCTGACAAAAGAGACGGCGAAAGCTAGAATCCGATTCTCGGCCTTGTTTGAAAACTAAGACTTTGTACCAAAAAGTTCAAGATTCAGAGAATGAAAGAAACACAAAAACGAAACTTTGGGACCGGCTACAAACGCTGCGAAATCGCCATAAAAAACTTCGCTGATACCGCTGATCAAGCCCACCCGAGAATCGATTCAAAAACTTCCAGCTTCATCGAAAACTTTTGCCATGTGCCTGCTATCATTTTTGATAAACAAAGATGCTCATGCGGACCACTCAGGAAACAGCTATTAGCAATACGACCTGAAGCAGAGCGCGAGCAGAAGAAAGCATTTTAGTGGTTTAAAATACACAGTTGCGATCCCTTCAGTACGAAAATAAGAGGAAAGAAGGCGGAAAAACCGTGATAATAATTTTCTGTGGAAAAAGTGTCCGGCAAACTTTTTTATGTAACAGATCTACTGAGATCTAGACCGAACGTGCACAGTTAATATACGTTAAGTGAAGATCACGACAAAACACGCAAGTAATAACCCTGTCACGTCTGTCACACACAGACGTTTTGCCGTCCTCATTTTTCTGCCGTCCTGTTGTGAAAGCTCACTATTACATCCTGCACTGTTGTAACTCCTCTCCCCTAGCCCCTTAGGAAGGCCTGATACTCAGGCTCGGCACTGTTGACAAAACTGGATAAATCTACTACCACTTGATAATACATATAACAGTACACTAAAGAAAGTGTAAGTTTGCTGTGTGACCGGCGGCTGCTAGTTTTGAATAACTGAATGTCCCCGTTAGTTAGCACAATTCATCAAAACAATAGCAAAATAATTACTACGATAAAGTGAGTGCTATATAAAGCCTAGATCGCCCACAAACATTCAAATTGAAATAATATGGGCAAGCAAAACAATGGATGAATACTAAAAGTAATAGAAAAAATCAATCAGTTTTTTAACTCATAGAATCCTTCTATAAACGACTTGTAACAAAGAAATATCAGGTAATAGCAACATATGTACTACGATTAATGGAGTTTTATATAAAGCTTAAATAGACTTGAAATTAAATGATATCTTCCCTAACCATAATTTGTAACAAAGTGATTTCAGGCATCAGGCTAATTTCTAATAAAATATGTTATCTGTATGAGATCAGAGGCTTAAATGCAGTAAAAAAAATAAGCAAGGATTGCAAAGAGTACAAAATGTTATAATATTATTACCCGAAGTGACAAATAAGGTCATCTTTATTTCAGTTTTTCAGTCATTCTTTATTTTGGCAGAGTAACATGCAAGGAAGTGCTGTGAATGAACCTAGAAAAATAAAAAAGTAAACCCAATTTATATCATTCACATGGCGAGTTATGACGAATCGTTCCCAAAAGCTGTCTACAAATCGGTAAAATAAAGACTGATTTTGACACCTGTCTCATCTCAGATGTCTCCATGTATGAACTTGATTTGTCTTTTCAGTTAAAATAACTCGGTGAAGTCTGTGCTTACATTAGTTTGGGCGACTTGTGTGTATGGGTTTCCCCCATAGGCGTACGGGCAATTTTTTGCCAGGGGGGCGGTAATCCATTTGCCCAAAAAATTCTTGCAAGTTGCCCAAATTTTTACAAAAGAGTCGAAAGGAGACTAGGGCCATACAACAAAATAGGCCGTACTGGCATTTGAAAGTGACTCGATACAGTTTTTCAGAGTCAATACCTGCCAAGTTTGAGCATAAACTACGTCGCCACAAACAAGCATTTGGAAAAAATTGCCACCACAGTTTTATTAGATAAAGAGGGAAATTTGTCATGATCAGGATTGCAATGATATCGGAGCTGTCATAGCAACGAAATGACGCCATTACCTATTATACTTGCAGCAATATTCTCACTGGGAACTGTTCTTACAAAATCGTTCAGGGGAGCTCTTTCCTCCGATAGTGGCCTCGATGTTCGTGAAGTTAAACGTAAGAGCGTTATCGAGATTTTTGGGATGAAGTTTTTATTGTTAGAAAAAGGTAAAACAGGAAAATCTTGATGTTTAGACGTAATCTGAAGAAAACGGAGCGCTTTTGACATGCAATTCCACCTCATAGTAGTTTCAATCTTTTTAAAAACGTGTATGAAAGATCATGGAGATAGCTCCTGCCAATTGCTATGAGAAAGGATTTGATTAGCGTTCGATCTTGTTAGGGGTTTTGTAAACATTTCGGTCTACTTAAACAAATTAGTGAATAATTTTTAAACCGCTCGATAGATTTTTTTAAAAAAATTATGATTTTTCTCGTAATTCAAACTGAGAATTGGTCAACCACTTCACCTTCAGACCCATTGCTGATGCGTGTTCTAGGAGCGAAGGTGATTCTAGAAAGTTATGCGGAAGTTTATTCTAATCAATTCACGACTGGAAATAGCCCACTCCAGCTAGTACAGTGAAGTACAGTGCCCAACAACAACAACAAAAAATCAGCATATGATACCCTTCCCTTATAACCAGAAACTCATCACGTGCTAGGCAACCACTGTCTTGTGTAAACGTAACTGAATTATTACGCCGACTTCTGGTTAAAATAGAAAATAATTATTTATCTCTTCAAAATAACAATAATAATAAAAAACATGGAAACGTCTTTAAAAACTGGCTTTGCCCAAATTTTCTCTTGCTGCCCAAAAAATCTGAGTTGCCCAAACTTTGGGGGGGGTGCAGCCCCCCTCGACCCCCCGGCCCGTACGCCTATGATTTCCCCCGCCTAACATGCTTCATCACTAGCATACAGGCAGATTTTCGAAAAAGTCCTTCGTCCTATAAAGCTCGCTCCGCTTGCTCTTTGCTGTAAAAGTGAAACTAGTAAGGTCGACTTGTAGCTAGTCTACCAACATGCGCACATGATGTTATAATAAATGTATTCGAGACGGAGAAAAGGAAGTTTCAAAAGTTCCCTGCTAGGTTTAACTTTACGATAACAAGACACGTACCAATATTTCGAGGTGTCTCCTGTGTGTACTTTAAAAAATTCCCTTCTTAAATGGAATGATCGTCGTCCGCTCTTTTCGCATCCAAAATTCATTAATGGCCACGGTTGTACTTAATGCCGGAAGTAGAGTCGACCTTGATTTGGAACAACTCTGCCTGAAACCCGCCTCAATATTTCGTCGAAAATAATTGAGTCGTTTGTCTACTTCCATGTATTTCCCAATCTGGAAGTCCATTTACTCTAACCTGCATTTTAACAACAACAAAGCGAAACTGTTTAGATCAATTGATGAATACTATAAGCGTGCTTTAAAATTATGTACATTTATAGCCAATCAAAAAGCTTCGATCTGTTGACGTCAGTCAATTGGAAACAAGTCACGCTCATGAATTAGTCGCACTCAAGCCGGTATCTACATAGTCTGCTACACAGCCGTTTTTAGTGTCGTCACGCAACGCTCCTCCCCACTAACGGCTGCTGAAAACCGAACTACATTCCTTTCCCGTGATTAGCCAATTATAATTCAGCTCCCATTTTCTGGAAGGTGTTCACGCCACGTTTGCGGTACTGTGACTCCTCCACTCACAGCTTTGCTTTTATCGGTGCCCCATGTGTGAATGACAGAATAATCAAAATCGTCGCTTGAAAACAAGTGGGGAGGAGCCTTGCGTGACGACTCTAAAAACGGCTGTGTAGCAGACTAGTATCTACAATCATCGTCAAAATTGTTGGGAAGACTGCTACTTACTTTGGCCTGTTTCTCGGCATGCTTTCAGGATCGGATATAAACAGATATATACTCCTCCAAAAGTAGATAACATCCATTGGAACAATATGTTTCGCGTGTTCTTGCCGATCTCTTCCTTTCAGTTTTAGTTATAGAATTTAGCCATTTCTTCTTTGGGCAATTCTTGTATTTTAGTTCACTCCTGAAAAAACTACATTAGGGCCACCGCGCCTGGAAACAGGCTTTGAAAGATTGTGCTAGCATTATTTTTTGCATACTTCGTCACTACGAGCATGCACTTTTGGCTAGTTTCATGCAGCCAATGTTTTTTTGGCTGAGATCAGTGTTACATGCAATTTTAAGAAACAAAGTCAATCTTTTGTCACCTTATTCACGGGATCTATTGAAGCACTTTCAATATACAGAGACCCCAGGTGGCTACAATTCATGTTATTTTTTGGTATCTTTTCCTTATAGAGGAATCAATGGAGCTGTAAGGTATCCAGTTGCTTCAGCGAGAGCTCCCACGGAGCAAGGGGTAGGTGACATTTTTCTTTTTTAGAGACTGGTTTCTATCAGCATGTTATTAGTCTTCGAGACCTACACGAGACTGATGAGAGAAAGAGTTCTTTCCGGATCCAGGTTCTGGCAAAGTCTTCAAGTATTCTCTAATTTTCTCACAAAAGAATGGGGAGGGGTCACAAGAGCTGTACCCGGTTAACTGTTCTTAATTGACGAATCTGTGTACTCAGGAAACACTACACAAAGAACTGATCAGGTAGTCCCCCGGGGTTGTACTTTAGGTCGGAACGTTTGCGTGGGAATGTGCCGCTGAGACCTTAGAGCCCCTAGCCTATACCAGACCTAGTTCAGCTAACTTTGCTATCCTATACTTGACCAAACATCTCAAATCCCTTCCTATCCTATAGTCGCTTTTTTCCAGAAACTACTGAGGTCATCGCTATCTTTGCTAATAAACTGAGTTGCGGGTAAATTTAAATTTTCCGATTTCATTTTCTAGTGTCAGTCCCCGTTTTTCCCAGTCCTCGACCAATTGACCAGTTTTTCCTTGGAAATGATACACCCTATTCTAGATCCAAACCAGGGGCGCAGCGTCTATATACGCACATACACGCGTGAGAACACCTGCACTGATCTGTATAATATCAGTACTTTTTCCCTGATTTCCAGGAAGTATTTTAATCATTAAATCGGGATAACTGATAAATCTTTCGCATTATAATGGTGTCTTTACCCATCTTAAGGGTGGACATCTCGCCCTTTGCTTGTAGCCTCCTTGATGACGTCACCGTTTTCCCTTTTTTCCGTTAACATTGCACCCTACCGATAACACTAGAGATGTAAATTACACAACTAAACATTGCATTTTCCTCCGTATTTATTTCCTGAAAATGTCTTGCCGAATACGTAGGAAATGGCATTTCTGAGCCCTAAATTTGAAAAAATTTCCGCTGGAGCATGTCCCCAGACCTCCCTAGTTTGCAGTACCGTCGAAGACCCAACCTTTCTTTCCTTACGCTACGCCCCTGCAAACTCTCTGATTTCTGCACCTTATCCCAGACCAAACTGCTTGAAAACCATACCCTTCACAGCGGCACATACCTATGAGCCCATATATGTAGTACCCCCTGTCTATGTCCTTCTAAGAAAAAAAGAATCTTTATCATTTCTTTTACTTACTATAGGCGATCGTTTGTCAACCCAGTGAGGAAGTTGATCATCCCATTCATGTAAGAGAACATAGAGAAGAACAAAATCCTCAACAGCCTGGTGCCATACGAGGGACTCAGAATGGGCTGATGGGTCCCCAAGATATAGCATCTTTGGTAGCTGTGGTATCAAGATACCCTGATCTCCTGGTGGAGCTACCTGTGAAGGTTATCCAGTTGCATTCAGGGAGTAACCAGGCGATGCAGTATAACGCTTGTGACATGCAACCACATCGTGAGCTGGACAGAGGAAGACTGCAGGTAAACGAGAGGGTAAGACCACAAGCACGTCAGAATGGAACTAGGTACTCTGTCGAGGAGACCAACCAGTTTCACGTGCAGGCCCAAGAAGATGAACGCATTGGTGCAATTTCTCTTCCTCTGCAAATAATAATTAACAGGTTAGTACGCTTATGGTGCATACGGCGCAGCTGAGGGTCCGTACCTGGTAATCTGGTGAACCTGCAGAGCTCGCAAATTTGCTTTTTGCAGTTCAATTTCTTTTGATAGTATACTGATGTCTGATTAGTTCACGCGTTAGAACCCCTTTTTTATCTTTTGGTTCATCATCTCAAACGGTCCAGCGGTCCGTTCCTCTCCAAAGATCCGACATTTATTGACCGGCTCAGAAACTTGTCGTTTTTTGCATTCGGGAAAGAGGCTTTAGTTTTGCAGATAACATAATAAAAGTATAAGTACACAAAACAAAATGGAATGGTTTGTTAACTAGGACCCTGGATCTTAATCGTTCTTCAGATTTTGATTTGAGTATTTGAATTCCGGGGGAGGTGGGTATTCCCCATACCGGCCTATACGGACAGGCTCCGCCCGAGATGGGTACCTTTTTCAGGCTTCAGATATATGAAAGGATAATAGACTATAAGGATTTCACTAGCTGAAGTATATGAAAGGGTAGGGAAATCTTAGCCTAGTCTCTAGTCGTTCTCTCTTGATCCGTTGTCCGCGCGAAGTCTGGGAGAGAGCGGGCGGTGACGTCACAGCTCATGGTAGAGTCCAGGAATGACCGAGCCGAAAACGCCTGGGGACTAGGCTGGGGAAATTTGTCATTTGGATCTGTGAAAGGGTCCAAAGGGCTAACAGATGAATTTTATGGCTTTATAAAGTCGAGAAAACGTTTTATTTTTGTGACAAAGACAAAGCATTTACAGCAGTTAAAAGGGATGAAAAGCTCTAAAGAAGGTATGTGAAAGGGGTACCATTTGTCAGTAGAAGGTATACGAAAGGGATACTTTTTTCGTGAAAAATGGTATATAAAAGGGTAAGGAGTTGGACCTCGGGGCGGAGCCTCCCCGTGTAAAAATTTGTTAAGTACCTCCTTCCGGAATTTGAATTCGGGGCTTTCGAGAAACCAGAAGTTCCCTAGCGGCGGGGATTGAGGAGAGACTATATTTGCTGCTGTAACTTCGATAATCCTCTCAGTTACTTCTAATTCTTTGTCCTGCGAGTTTTAATGTATGTTTTTTTTACATATTCATTATTTTATCTTCATATTACATGGGTTTACAACAAACCAACTAAATAATTTGTTAGCTCAATTTGTTAGACTGCGCTCTACCGATATCTCAGAGGTTCAAGCCTGAATTTGTCAGGCTTTCTTTCCCCAACTGCGTTGTAAAAGTTGCTTCCTAGTAAAATGATTTTCTTTACATTTAATTCTCTATTCCGCAACAGTTCTAATATATGTTCATACGTTCATTATTTGATTTGTTAGCCACTGTTTAAAATTCTTTTTTTCTTTTTGGCAGATTTTAAAAATTGCTCATGAAAACCACACTCAACATTTTACAGAAAATAATTATAACATTTATAATGATAAGATGATTTTCATTTCCATAGGTTAAGTCCTCCAGAGCCAAAGTCATCCATTGGTCAGAACTGTGGCGGAAAATATATTTGGAAGATAGAGCATTTCTCTCAGCACCTCCAGGATGCTCTCAATGGAATAATAGCATCACTTGAGAGCCCTCCAATTTACACAGGCCTACAAGAATACAAGTTCTTCATGCGCATTTTCCTAAAAGGCGTTAATGGTGGAGATGGAAGACACATTGGCCTTTTTGTTGGCATGATGAAGGGAGAATACGATACTGTTCTGGAATGGCCCTTCTGTGGACGAATCTCCCTCACCATCAAGGATCAAAGCACTGATGTTCATGGCTTCCGCAACGATATCAGCGGCACTTTCATGGCCAATAGAAATCTGGGAGCTTTTCAGAAACCTGCTGCTGCCGACAGCGGATACACCACACTGTATGGCTACGCAGAGTTTGCGCCCGTCGCCACGGTTTGTACCCCAAAGTACTCTAAAGATGACACAGTGATGGTCAAGATTGAGATCCATAAAAACATCTAAACAGTCATTTTCCTTCTAAGGAAGCGCAACTTCTTGGCTGTAAAAACTCCATAAAAGAATTTTTACATTTTAAAAAACAACATATGAATACAACAGCCAAGTAGAACAACTACAGAAATGTTAGTGCATTGAAATATATACCCGCTAACTTCGCATTTAATAGTTCTTAGATGAGTTTATAATTCTTTTTGATTTTTTTTTACCATTTTACTCAATACTTCTTTAGTAATGATATGTCTAACAACAAAATCTATATTAACCCTAAGAGCTGAAGCCAGGCCTGAAGGAGGGGTACTTCCTAGTAATAGGCTGATGGGGATGCGCCGCTGGATGGGGTCACATGTTTTCATGACTGGATTGACTATAATGGGGTTGCATTATTATTAGAGTTACTAGGATGGGATAGAATATTTTTGGGATTTGGGGGATCTGAAATTCAGGTAGGTAGGGATATAAAAATGGGAAGATTTTTACTTCTTTAAGTTTGACCAATGTGTCAATTAATTCATTTCCGGATGACCTAGTTAAAAGGTTTTTTAAGTAGGATGCGTAAACAGAAAGCGACCAAGTTGATATCGCGAAAATTACATTTTCCCAAAAGTGACTAAGATGGAGTCCATATTTGGCTACAGAATAGACTATAATCGGGTAGGGGTTCTGAGAGGCCAGCGGCACGTAACCAGTAGAAATTAACCCAAGTAACCCTCCCCCCCCCCGGGGGGAGCCAGTAATCGACCCCTGTTAAGAGTAATCAGCATCAAATTTCTCCTTTTAAAGTCAGTTCTTCATGAAACAGAGTGGTATTAAGAATTAAGAACATTACCAAACACTTTATCCATTTGGAAAATTTACAAGGACAACAAATAAGGATTCACACTTTTTTATATGAGGGTTTTTAAAGCTAAAGCGGTTACCGACCCTAGCTTGTGTTGATGTCCGGTCGAAAGAGATGTCTTAAATCAGGGGCACCCATCGTCAATTTTCGGAAAATATCTGTTCGGAAGACGATTTGAGATCTAGAATTTTCGGAACATTTGTTGTAAAATTTCTTGCTTGCCTGCCTCTCCTAAGATTTTCGAACATCTAAAAAATGGTATAATTACCCATTTTTAACGGATTTTTAGCCTAAAAAGGTCACCCAGAATTTTCGGAAGCCTTTTTTCTGGCTGAAATTTTCGAAAACGTAAGTTTTGATCCCTATAATTTTCGGATCACTACACTTTCAGCTAGGAAATCCGAACAGATAAAAAATTTTTAGGGGATAAAAATACACCTATATCTACCGTTTAAATACCAAAATACGTTTAACAATGCTATGTTTAAGTGGTTTGAACTATATTCTTGTTGGGTGCCCCTGTTAAATGCTACACGCTACACATGCAATAGCATGCGAACGGCAAACGTTTCTCCTGGTTCATCGCCGCTGAGGGACGTTTCGTTCCTCCTCGCGAAACGTCCTCGTTCAGTGGCGATGAGCGAGGAGATACGTCTGCCGTTCGCATGCTACACACGCAAATACCTACAATAATCGTTTTAGTCTTTAGCCGAATGGTTACTGCATAGTCTATTTCTTTTAGATGAAACGCTAGAAAATCACCTTTGTCGTTATTTTTGCGAGGCAGCAATGATTATGATGTTAATATATGCATCAACATGTGTAACACTGGTTTGCATTCATACTAATATCGCATCGATTTGAATATGATGCTGCGTAGTTACAGAAGGTGATAATTGTTTGTTGATGTAGAAGCTAGGCTGGAGGTTTGTGTAGGGGTTGTAGGGTATCAGAGACAGAGGTGAAAGTTTCCAGTTATTCTCTCACTGAAGACTTATATTCCGCAATGTAGTCATAGTGTATAGCTGCAAATTATGAAAAGGGTGACGAAAGGTTTTCTTAGATATAAATTTTATGTCACGTCATTTTAAAATCATCGACAATTGTCATTTTATGTTCCAATGAAGGACGTGAAAGCGCGCTTCCGCCTTTAGGGAGTGGTGCTTGCCGCGGAGAAATTTTCTATTGCGAAAAGGTTTGATGGAGATACTTTGCTTCTTTCGCCATCCCTATTTTATACAAAGAAAAAGGCTTTCGTAAAGTTAAAAAGTGAGCAAAAAATGCTCAACTGTTCCATGTGTTGTATCGCTTGTAGTGTCTTAAATCAATAAAGCAAACGTGAAACGTTACGCTTTTTTTTATTCTTCGAACTGCACGTACATTTGATTTCATAATATGAGAAGCCTGTTTGATTTAGTGTGTTAGATGGCCATCAATGGCCATAGATCAACATGTAAATAGTCCCTGACTTCCATTCTTCTTTGATCCTTTTTTTTACAGTATAGATTCGTCCCAATGATCCGCTCATCCCATCCCGTTCGGATCCCCCCTCATTCCACGCTCCGTTTCTCACAGTTTTTCCAAACAAGTTCTAAGGAAAAAAGAAACAGTTTATGGTAACTGAGTAAATACTTTTTCATCTGTAAAATTATATAAAGGCCAGCCGCAGTCCTTTTCACCGGGTTCAAGACATGAGTTCCGCTAGAGCCCACTGTACCTCGAAATTAAAAAAAAACTTTGACACTTCTGTAGACGGAAGGAAAAAAAATAGAAACATAATCATGCGACCAGGGTAATGGTCACCAGAACCAAGGCACGTATTTTGGGAAGCTTCCAGACGAGGAAACTGACAGGAAACAATGGACACGTTAGGTATAATGGGATGAAGGATGGTCTGGTGGCTCTCATGGACGAGAATGTGGTTTCCTTCAGCTCAAATAAGGAGGGGTGGGGGGTTTACGTTGGATGGTGGGGTCTTCCCTCGATCTTGCACCAAGGCTGAGGTGTTTCTATCGTTGTTCAACCGTCGGCTAGGACCATTTTGGGATGAAAAAATAGTAAAAAACAAAATCCTATAAGATCTTTTATAACAGGCCAGGAGCCCATGAACAGGCCTATTTGTGCATTTAATGTAATCTCTAGGCCTTTTCCTTGGCTGTGGCAGATCTGGATGCGAGATTGCTTTTAAGTATCATTTGCGGATATATTTCTCCTTGACTATTGATTTTGTTAAATTTTTGCTCAATTTTGGAATTTTCTGACGCAGCGAATCTTTACATACCCGACTATCCTATGAGTGGCTGTGCCCCTCCTCCACTCCAGCAGAGAAAATGGAGTCCTCCACTTCCACTGTCTCTCCGGGGAGGGTACGGCTACAGGTAGGGCTACAAGTAGGCTAGTCTTAGTGACAGGTAAGAAAGGATCCGTTGTGTTCATTGTGTTTTGTCTGAGCGAACCCCCTCCCCATCCTTCAGACTTGATCTGATATCATTCATTGTTTTCAATACCCAAGGTATCAGAAGGTTTTCTTTCTTTCTCCTTTCTCCTCAAACATATGTCCCTACTGATGATCATTTTATTCGGAAGATTATAGGAGCCATTCAGAGCGCTAGCCCAAGGGGGTCCCCGAAGGTCAGATTCTAATCCTAACGTGAAGTCACCGTTCAGTGTGATGGTCTTTAGGCGTTTTCTCGTTGCTTTGTGGTTTGTTGTCGCCACTTCATGGCTCAAGAATGTTTCGACAGAAATATGGAAGCAATGCCCTGGAGCTAAGGTGTGTTTTCTAGTGATGTTAAGATCCTCGATGTCCTATAATAAAGTGGTAAAATGTTTTTTTCGTTTGGCTGACAAGTAAAAATTAGCAATCGAGGCTATTATATACTGAACCAGGCAATAAATAAGTCTTAACCGTAACAGGGCTGAGTAAAGCACATCAACCTGTGAGTGAATAAACTAAAACGAACCAAAATATTGAATTGCTTCACAATAAATCATGTTTTCACAATACCTTTGCACTGTACAAATACTTGCTGCCAATTTCATTGGATATATAAGCTTATAATACATTAAATTATTAGCTCCAATAGTCGTTTATCAAAGCAAACATTAAAGCACTTGCTTACATAAATAAACGACGAAGCAAGAGTAAAGACAAAAGATGCAAGAGTAGACATATTTAGGTAAATACAGATAAATTGATTGCATTAATAAGAAATGTGCAAAAAGGGTGAAAAGTTATAGTTAAGTTGCACTAATACACCTATTAGAGGTGAGAGTCTACTACATGGTACATACTTTGTACAATACTTTGTAATTTGTAGATAATTTATACTTAATTAACAACATTTACAAGAAATACTCAAACACAACATGTAAGAATTTTTGTAATAACAACTGCAAAAAAATTCAGGAAAAAAAAAGATTCAAAATTTACAGATATAAAAAATAATTTTCTCTAAAAAAATTAAAATAAATTTCTATAGTCTAACAAATCTTACTATCATGATGGGAGCCAAGGCTCTGTGGAATAATCGTAATAACAATTCTGATGTTCCTAAGTCATATATATGCCCATACTGCCTTATTCTACAATGATTTTTGACACAAAATGAGACAATACCATAACTCATTAACAAAAGAACTAAAACAGAAATTACACTGACTACTATCAACACTGTATAATTGTGTTTGTGTTCCTTTAGCAGATGCTGCACTGCTTGTAATGAGCCATTTTTTGGTGCTGGTTCAATGCCCAGTAAATGACACATCAGAGAGTATATAGTCACATTTTTAAATGGTTCTGAAACAAAGCCTTCTTTGAATGCAGGTCCTTGGGCAACATTGTCATTGCTTAAATTTAAAGTGAATTAATTTAACTTTTAATCACATGCATGGCATACTATCAACTTCAAATACTTTGCAAAATCAGGTAACAGAATTAGGTAATTTTATAAGTGGTTATCAAGTGAAAAATAATTATTTTGAATATTGGTCACTTCCTTTAATACACTCATTATCTTAACTATATAACAGGACCTAGGCGGGTAACATTTAGCAGTGTGAGAGAAGTGCGGCAATTATCAGGTAAATATATGTAATTTGGTTTATTAGGGAGCTTTTTTGGGACAGTATTTACAGCTCAATCATGGAAAATTTCTATGTTTTGAATGGAGCAAATTTGCATTTTTCAGACCATAATTCTGAATAGGCAAGGTTGACCAGACTTCCTTACCACTTGGATGAAGATCAGAAACTTCCTGTCCATCATGTTGCTAAGGTTGCCTTGCTATTCTGCTTACTGGTGAGTTGTTAGGCTTTTTTGAAGTAGTCTGGGGGGTGGGGTAGGGTGTCTTTGTGATGTGACGAAACCGTCTCTCCTGGGGAAGTTATAATTAACAAATCAACAACAAGCCGCAGGCGAGTGGTTTCACTGCAAAGTTTTGAATATTTTGTTGTCATTTCCATGGTCCATTACAGTGGAGAGTATGAAAAATAAATTGTTGTTGATTTGTTTTTTTACAATAACATTGACAGTTTTAACATCCATTTCCTTTGAAATTTCTTGAAAAGTTACGCACACAAGACAGAGAGAAACAAATTTTGCCACCATCACGTCATTTCCATGGTCTGTACATTTATCAAACAAAGCTCTCCACCAATCAGCGCACAAGAAATCACTCAGTTATTGTAAAATGAATATTTCTCACAATTATGATCACTATTTGTAAAAACATTTAGGGGTAAAAACTAGAGGTTGTGTCTCAGGTTGTTTCTTCAGTTCAAGTAGTTACGTGAGGATTGGGAACCCTAGTACTTCGGTACATTTGCTATGAAATTTTTGAATTATTTTGGTCTCTTAAGGGGCATGGTGAAGGGGGTGTGGGGTGGGGTCCAAATGCAAAATTTGGTCGGTAATTGGCAAAAAAGTTTTGTGCTTGTACTCACTTCGCACAGAATGGTCAATCAAAACACTTCAGGGGAGAGAAATATTTAGTTCACGACTATCTTTAACATCTTGCACACCCCTTGCCCTTCTTGCAATATTTTTTTTAACGTTTACTTCCTTTGGAGTTCCTTGCATTCACCACTGGAGACAATGATCATTAGACATTTAGGGAAAGTCAAATTAAACACTTTATTTTCTCTACTGACTAGCTTCTCTTCCACAGTGGTTTTGTGCAAACGGCAGTTATCAGTAAGCCATTGTGCACACGTCTCCAGCAGCGGTAAATATTTTGTCATCCTCATCAGGTAAGATTTCTTGCTACAGGTATTCCTCAGCCTAAAATTAGCCTCTTAAGCTTAAGTGTGGGTTTGTTTTTTTTTGCCATTGGCTTTTGTGCCAGGAGATAATTATGATTACTTTCTCAAGCTCATTAGCGTGTAATGTGCAGATGTGCACTATCTCGTCTCACATCTTAATTAGCTGCTCACCCTGAAAAATAGAGCTCCCTAACAACGTAACATAACTTATCACATCCAGTTTGTGCATCATTGTGGTTATCGTTTACTTGTTATTCTTACCTCATTCAACAATCCGCTATTTCGTAAACTTTTAAACAGATATCCAGTGACATTATCCATTCTACGAATAACACTTTTAATCTCTGGTGAATTAGGGCCAAATTTATGCCCACTGTGATCTGGCTCGTTAAAATAAGCGGCCAAAAAGCTTGGAGGATCATCCTGCTCTAACATTGTACATAAATAATCTATTCGTTTCTCGAAGGAAAGTGACCGATTATAGGGTAAATAGTGTGTAGGGTACTGGCCTTCTATTTTCACTTCTGAACCAGGCCAAAACACAACAGCACTTTTCTTAAAAGCTTTTTGATTCGTGATCCACACCGATTCTCCGTTCCATCATTTTGAATCCAAGTAATGCTTTGACACGGCATCTAAGTAGGAAGTGTCGTTGAAAACAGGATCGAAAACGTATTTGCTACGATCCCGTGGCTTTCCTCATAAAGTCCTGTAACTAACGTGAAATGATTCGGGAATGTCTTGGTAACAAAGGTATTGAGAAGGTGTTTCGCTTTGATGCCATTACTTGCGATACAATTCAAATTCGGAGCATGAACTTTCTCCATGTAGTCCCACCGGAAACCATCGTACGAGACCAAAATTACAGTGGAATGTTTCAGAACGATTCTCTTATTAATCGAGGCGAAGGCGTTACGATTAGGAAGAAATAAGAATTAATATCAACATGTGCAATCGGTCTAGCCTCATAATGAAAAATTTTTGGAACAGGACGGACAAGAAATCGACGAACAATCGACGAATAACGCTGTTCTCATTTCCAAGTCGTCCCCAGGATTTACTCGTTTAGTCCATATGATAGACTGTTCACAGTCCTCTATTTTTCCGTAAGATCTTCGAGATCGGGCACTTTGCGTTACGGGCTGCCATCTTGCATGAGTGTCAAAACTACTTAGGGGGCGGGGGCGGTTTGGAAGGAAGCGAGAAAAATATTTTTCTCGCTTCCTTCCAAACCGCCCCCGCCCCCTAAGTAGTTTTGACACTCATGCAAGATGGCAGCCCGTAACGCAAAGTGCTCGATCTCGAAGATCTTACGGAAAAATAGAGGACTGTGAACAGTCTATCCATATGAAGACGCTGGAGACGAGTGCCAGACTTTGATCCACGAGCCGATCCACGACGCTCTTTTGGCGTGACTTTGCCCTCCAATGATGAAATCAATGACGAAAAATCTCGTATATTGTTATAACCTTCATTTTGATTGGTAGAAAGCTCTTTCGAATCAAAATATACGAGATTTTTCGTACATTCATTGTTGCGGACAAATAAGCAAGCCAATCAGAAGCAACGATCCCAACAAACAGTGTCTTGATTGGTCAGGGCGCTCCCGCTTTCTCTCCGTAAAAGTGAAAAGACCCCGGAAAAGACACTAAAAACACGAAACAACCGTCTATTGCAATTCTTGCACCCCAAGTACGATAGAGGACTCTTGCAAGTATGAGTTTCCAAAGTGGTATTCTTTGTGCCACTACTGGGACAACGAATCGGTAGGTTTAAATACACTTTACCACCAAGGTGATGCGGACCACATCTCGATTATTTTACACGTCGCATCGCATCGATAGGTCTCTAAAAAGTCGAGTGAAACGACTGTTGTCTCTGAAATATCTGTTCGGAGAAGTAATTTCTATTACTCAGGGTGCAAAGAAAGTCAGTTTTACAGCTTGCCATTCGGGCTAGCTGTAGCTAGCATGTACTAGCCCAAACATCACTTTAACTAGCCCTAGAACAGGGGCACCCAACGGCAATTTTCGGGAAAATATCTGTTCGGAAGACGATTTGAGATCTAGAATTTTCGGAGCATTTGTTGTAAAATTTATTGCTTGCCTGCCTCTCCTAGGATTTTCGAACATATACAAAATGGTATAATTACCCATTTCTAACGTATTTTGACCCTAAAAAAGGCCACCTAGAATTTTCGGGAGCGTTTTCCTGGCTGAAATTTTCGAGAAGGTAAGTTTTTATCCCTATAATTTTCGGATCACTAGACTTTCAGCTAGGAAATCCGAACAGAGGAAAAGTTTTTAGGGGATAACAATATGCCTATATCTACCGTTTGAATACTAAAATACGTTCAACAATGCTATGTTAAGTAGTTTTGAACTACATCCTCGTTGGGTGCCCCTGCTAGAAGCTTTCTGATGAGTACGTTTGAATACACAGTCCTTCTGTAATTTGAATTCTCAAAAAATTCACTTGCCCATCGGGCAAGCTAAGAACAACAGTCACTAGCCCGAAATAAAAATCCTCTAGCCCCAGGCTATCGGACAGCAGTTTCTTTGCACACTGATTACTTGAGGGCGGCTAAAAATTTCTAGATGAGCGTTTTTTTAATGTATAATTTTCGAAGTCCCTACGACTTTCCTAAAAAGTGTTTCGAATGTATTTAGGAGGTGCCCCTAAAGCTTATAATATGGTGATAAAATGTGACAAGAGGGACAAGGCAAAAATGTTGTGAGATCGGGTTGTGATGCATGTTGCTGGGAAATAAAAGTACCGAGAATCCTACAAAACTTAAGAAACTTGAAACCGAATCAGCATGTTTTTCTTTTTAATGTTTATTTACTTATTTACATCGTACCTGGCGAGCGGGGAGTGAAGTATAACTTCACATGCAATGGAAGAAGAAGAAGCGTTGCTTAAAAATTCGACTGCGTTAGGGCTGTTAATTTTTTACCAAAATCAAAATTATTTACGATATTTAATAAGAATGCAACAATTTATATTTCGCGATCGTGGGACTATCAAGTACCCGGTGGCCTTCTATACGCAGAGCAAGCACTGTATCCTCTGAGTCTCAGATACTGGTCGAATATAGAGAGAAATGTGACAAGAGGGGCAAGGCAAAAATGTTGTGAGATCGGGTAGTGCATGCATATTGCTGGGAAATAAAAGTAACGAGAGTCCTACAAAACCTAAGTAACTTCAAGCTCGGTCATTTTTTTTTAAATGTTTATTTTGGTCTGGCCCCAGTTGTTCAAAAGCTGGATAGCGCTATCCACCGGATATATCACTATCCCTCGGATAAGTATTAGGCAAACCAATTGCGCTATCCAGTGGATAGAGATTTATCCCGTGGATAGCGCTATCCACCTTTTGAACAACTAAGGCCTGGTGTAAAATCAGCTACTATATAACCTGGAGTTCCTGGAGAGCTGCTAGAAGACTTGACACCGTAAAAAAGTTGTTTCGATTTCTTCCTGACGCACATGGTACTCTGGCGAGCGAGGAGTGAAGTAAGACCATCAGTGTAAACTCATCATAACCCTTTTGTAAGCAATTAGGTTTAACTGCCTCTACAGAGATGCAGGGAAAGACCGATTATATACCGAAAAACTTTTGCATTCGCGCTTATCAGTTGAGATCTTGTTGATTTGTCCTCAGAAATTCTGACATGCGGACGTCCATGGAAACAGCATCATTTTAGCGTTATACAACGTTTGTGAGGAAGTAAATCGGTTTATCAATTGAATTTTTAAGGTTTACTGTTTATTTTTAATATCTCCCACTAAGGAACATGAACATCTAGCGTTTACTTCAGCAAAAGCAATCAACAGCAAAATATTCGGTTGCATAGGTTTTGGCTGGTTATGGAGGCTAGTCAGCGGAGTATGGCAGGTGCACGCGCGAGATTTTTCTTTAACAATATATAAGTAAGATAATTTGCAGTCTGTCTACTTTGAACAGTGTAATAAGGGCCTAAAAACGGCCTTGCACGCGCGACATCTCGTCGACTTCTGCCATACTCTGGAGGAAGCAAAATGATAGCAAGAAATCGAGGAATCGCTTAACATAGTGATAAAATAAGAATTCGCTAGCTTAGTATAATTCTGCATTACAAAGATATGTGTCATGACAGCGTAGTAGACCGCTGTTTACGAGCATATAAGTATAAGAATCGCGGTATTCACTAAAATGAGCTATACAAAGTGTTTACGTGCGTGACTTAACCACAAAAAGAACAAGATGTAACAAGCAAGCCATGTATCGAGTAGAAACACTTAGTTCATATTGTGATTGCGCTTTCCTGACTTTTAATTTCTGCTCAAGATCAGATAAAACAAAGTTAACAAAATGGGGAAAAAAGCTAGTAATCCATGAACGGCAGGGCGTTTGTAAATTAAAATTTTATCAGAATTAAAGAATCTGAAAAAAATAAGCCGACTATAACATCTGTAAATCTGCCTTGAAAATTGACCTTGCTATTACTAAGTAGTAAAGGATAGTTCTCCTCACCATGATATTTTAAAGTTAATAGCTTTTTCATATGTATTTACAAACTTGACAGTTACCAACAAGACATTTGTACTTAGTTAATAATACGAAATAGCAGAAGCAAAGTTTAATCACGAAAATGGAGCGGAGTGAAGACAACTTCAAGAGATACTACTGAAGTTAAGTAAAATACATCTCCGCTGCTAAGAATGATCATGATTTCCAGCTCAAGTTAACTGATTTTAGCTGTACTGAATGAGATCAAAATTAAAGTGAAACGTTTAAGTCTGTATAAAATTGAAATCAACTTTACCTTGCCCGTGCTTTGTGTACATGAATTTCAAGCATAGCTGTTGTTATTCCTTATGGGTGGACTGGTTAATGTGCAAAATCTCCAAAGATCAGTCCATATAATCTGGATACACACTATTTTCCCTATGCTACATATTGAGCTTAACGCACTCACGCCAGAAGCACGTTTCATGCAATGCAACTTCAAAATGGACAGATACAAGTTCCACTGAATAGGTTTTGTAGGTTTTGTGACGAAGCAGATGCACGCAAGTCGGTTTCTCACCGAGTTTACCAGTTGTTATAGCAAAATGCCCTGTTATTCCTTACCATGTTAGGTAATTTCTTGGCCTGATAAAGTACATCATTTGTTTCCTTCGCATCAGAAATCCAAGGATGACCAACAGAAATTTACAGCTTTCAACAAATCAATGGCGGAAGTAAACTGTGTTTCTCTGAAAGACATCAGGACATTCTGTCATGCAACCCACTTTCGTTTCTCACACAAAATATTATCAGTGTCGTCTGTCGATTCTCTTTAGATTCTTAGTGAACTCCATTTAACTTTACAACTACGTTTTAACTTCAAAGAATCCCTTTTGTAGTTTAGCTTTGTTGTTCCCTAAATCGTGTCTATTCTGAATGTATTA